GATAAATTAGTTAAAAATGACAGAAGAGCCCTGAGTCAAAGAAAATATTTGTAAACTGGAACTTCCTGTCTGAACAAGATGACAAGAACCATTTTTCCTCCTCCTGTCTACTAAGTTCAAGTATAAACTATGGAATTTACCTAAGAAACACCCACAGGAAAACTCTGGAAGGCTGTAGAAATAAATAAACAACAGAGTGCCAGGATGCCATTATACTCTCACCAATCAGGAGAAGGAGACCCTCCTGATGTTTTCCAGTACATGGCAACAGGCAGCTGGCAGGTAGGGTCATTTCTCTCTGGACTCAACCTGATTTCTGTAACAAGAAATAGTGACTACATTCCCCTTCCCCAAGCCCAGCATGACCTGAGCAAGATAGATTCAGAGCCCTGGGGGCAATTAGCGGGCAGTGAGTCTGTCCTCTTTTTTCCCCTATAGATGCTAAGACAACCAGGCAGCTCCTGCAAAGACCCACCACAACCAGTGAATTATTCCAGGAAGATGTACATTCACATGTATGTCATAAGTTACTATTCCTCCCTCCAGCTCTTCAGGAGAAATATGCTTGGGGACCGTGGACGTGGTCCTTATGTAATAAGCTCAGATTATGAAATCTGTTCCCAGAAGGCCTGAGTTGTTGGGCAGGATTGAGAAGTGCATGGACCCAGGAACAATAACCTCTGGGAGAATCTGCTCCCACCATCTCTGACACCCTAGCAGTCATTCATTCTGCTGTTGTCACTCTCTGGAGCTCCTGTCTTTGCTCTGAGATTCAGGGATGGTGTTTTTACACTGTTTGAAAAATAACACAGCCCAGCTGTGAAGAGCAGAGATGCCAAGCCTGAGGAAAGAGAAAATGGCATGTAGGGACCTAGGAAGCCTATTCATACTCTGTATTCAAAAAAGGGCTTCTGAAAGACCAGTAGGCCAGCTCTGATTGGATAATCCTGTTAGTGGCCATCAGCTAATGAGGAAATAAAATATTGAGACTCTTCCAAAAGTACTTGCCACAGACCTCCACCTACAGCATATTCATCTTCGGAGAGTTCATTTTCATGTTTTTCAACTTTTCTTTTTTAATTATCACTAAGTCCAACACATAAAATTACACACATGTGGAATACTAGAAAATACAATTATATAACCATAATCACAATCAAACTTGAGAATATGTCCATGACTCATCTCATTTGAATTTACTCTTTCACCACTCCAGCTCTAGACAATTTTTAATGTCTTTCCTGTGTCTAAACATGAGCCTTTATAAAAATATCTGAAGTGCAAAAATAAATTATGTAGTTGCCTTAGGTCTAGTTTCTTTCACATAGCTGGACACTGTTGATGATCTTTCCTGCTAGAGCAGATATCATTATTATATCTGCTTTGATTGGGGAATAGTATTCTATGGCACAGATACACCACATACATGTTACCTTCTGCTAGTGGATGAATTTGTTCATTTACTTTTGGCAATTATAAATAGTTCTACTATGAGTATTCACATATGAGTCTTTGGCCATAAACTTATCTATGTTTTTTTTTTTTGCATACACTTGAAAAAGAAATT